ACAGAGACAGAGCTTGTGGGGCCACAAGTAAGAACTTGGTCTCCATTCAGTCACTTACTTTGGGCTTAAGGCCTTCCTCTCCATTTCTACTTCTAGGGGTGTAGCATGGATCAGAATATTATTTACCTCCCCCCCCACCACCCATCGGGTTCTAGTGCCAAAAGTAGGACACGGACAATGCCTTTCTGTGGGTTCACAGGGACCACTGTAGTTGACTGAAGACATCCCTTGAGAGAGCAAGAAGTACAATGCCATTTGGATGAAAGGCAGGAGAGGTATAATAGTGAAGGACAGTCTGGACTCAGGGTAGGAGAGTAGTTTGGGCCATCTGGATTACCTCTTTTTGTTCTGAGTGACGTGAGAGAGAGAGCAGCAGAACTCAGGCTCCAGTGCAGGAACACCTAAGCCCTCCCAATAAAAGAATTAGCTTGTGCCTATCTCTCAGTGAGGCCATGGAAGGAGAAGGACCAGAGCGCTGAGGCCCAGGTCTGGTGGACTAAGTGGGTTGGATGCAGCAGCTGAGTCAATGAGAAACCACAAATCTACTTAGTGAAGGGGAAGTGAAGAGGGAAAGAGGCTATTTGGGGGTAGGGTGCTTGAGAAAGGAAAATCAGGGTGTCCAAGTGGGGGCAGGTGACCCAAGGTTTTGGTGGCTATGGGACCTATTTAGGACTAGATTCTCAGCTGTAGCTGAGATGGGGAGCCACCCAGGAGCCTAGAGAGGAAGGATACTCCAGTGGGTAGGTTGCTGGCCTGAGATGGGGGAGACCTTGGGTCATGTCCTGCTCTAGCACAGACTCCCTGTATGACCTTGAGCAAGTCACTTAGTCTCTCTGGACCTTGGTTCCCTATCTGTACAATGGGGATGATAGCACTGACTGACCACAGAGGGTTGTAGTCAGGATAAGAAAATTAAAGACAGCCAGGTGCTCAGATATTAGGGTAATGGAGGCCATATTTAAGGTGGACAGGGGACTGCTCTGAAGTATGCCAGCTGATAATGGACTTTAAGGAGCTGTTACCCAGCTGGGAAATGCTGCAGTGCACCAGAAGAGGCATGTAAGAGCTGGCTGTTTTTTAGCCCTTTTGCACTCCCAGATTCATCTGAAGATGTGGTCCTAAATTTAATCCTGCATTAGATGAGACTCTTTACGGAAACCTTGCCATGAACCTAAAAGAATGAGGCATGATATCATAAAGGGCGGGAGAAGATCAAAGGGCAGAACTCAGCAAGGTATGGAGTTTCCAATGAACTTCAGTAGAACTGGGAGACAAACTGTTGGAGGCTTGCTGAGCTTCACCAAATTCCCAAAACACCTTTTCAGACTGACTGGATCTCTTGAGTTTCACCCAAGAGTTAGACTCAACAGCCCTGAGACACAGTTCACTCCTGGATGGTTCATAGTTGTCTCTTGTGTCTGAGAAGAAAGTGGGGGGTTGGACACTTGTGAACATCCTGGCTGGGATTGTGCACAACTGGTGTTTACAGAGCACTTTGGGTTGTTCTGGATACAGTAAGTGTGGAGCAGGTAAGTCCAAAACCTTTCATTTTCCCTACAGCCTTCCTTCTTTGCCCTTCCCCATCTATCTGCCAATTTCGAACTAACTCATCTACCTCTCCCATGTCCAGGGAGGTGAGTAAGGAGGAATGGGCATTCCACACTAGAGGCAGTAACCAGAAAAGGATTTCTAAACTTCATGGAATGCAGCTTGGTTTCCAGGGCTTTGGAGTGGAGCCCGGAGCATCTCCGGAGCAGTGGAGCTGCAGGTTTTTGCCTGGAGCTAGAGCGGAGCCGGAGCACAGCTCCAAAGCCCTGTAATCAGGGGTTTTCTGGGCCTACCCAGAACACGAAGGCAAACCTTCTGTGTCTCTTGCTCCCTATCTCCAAAATTACCAAGCCTAAATGCCACTGCCTACACCAGTGCTACACCATTCCCATATTTACTCCTCAGAAGGAGAGTTCACAGAAACTTCCCCAAGGCCATGATGTCACTGAGTCCCCACTTTTCCTTTCCAGACGGCGAGTTTATCACTTAATTAAAACAATACATTCATCAAATCTGTACCAGCACTTAGATACCTCAGAGAAGGTTCCTTAGAAATATCTGAGGGATTTCAGAAGCTCTGCAATATGCCATCAATGGAGACCTGGTTTATAGACTGAGAAGTAACAAATATTTTCAAATGATTTGGAATCCCTGGTTGGATACGGTGGCTTAAAAAGACTATTCCTTTAATTGTACTCCCTCGGTTTGTAAAACTGAAGTCCTGCTAGATGTAACAGGAACCTCGAAGATAAACCTTGTACACTCAGTTCATTAAAGAAATGTTTAAAGGAACTAAAGAGATACCTTGGAGATGCATAGACAGGATGGATAGGGATGAATCTGATTGGGGCCTCTGTGTGCTATTGCAACATTAATATTAAAAAATAATAGATATATGCCAGTGGTACAGAGTGTCCACTAATAGAGTCCAGAAGAAGAGATCATGGGGACCCACCAGGGCCATATAAAGCCATATGATGCCAATATCCATCTAGCGAGGAGAAACCTCTGGGATTTTCCAGGACCACTCAGTGCCGCGTGGTGTCCACTTGTGCATACCAAAATGAGAGACGCCAGTGATTCAGCCTGGCTCTACCACACCAGATGCACTCATCTATCAGAAAAGAAGAATCCACAATACTGCACCATTTCATAATCCCTAGGAGAGGTCACAAGTATTCCTTTGCCTGTTCATATGCCCAAACAAGGCTTTCAGTGATGGATGAGTAGACAGAGCTGTGCGGCCTGGACTCTTCTTTAGGGGTACACAAAAAGGTGTAGTTTAGTCCTAGTGACTCTCTAAGGATTCACCAGAGCATGTGTGAGGGCTCCACCTCTGTCAGCATAGCATGGCCACCACTGCAGCTGAGCCTGCACTGAGCATGTGCTGCTGCTTCTACTGCTTTATCCCTGAAGTTGACAGTCGTGGCAAGAAGAAAGTGCCTAGAGAGGCTGGTGAGAAATTGAAACAGACTGGTGAAGCAGGGCATGCAGGACTGGTTTCCTTTTCATCTGAGGGATTTGTTTATTTCAACAGACCCAAGGAAATCTTCCCTAGGGATACAAGCCCTTGGGCGTTGGTTGCAAACCATTACAGCTGCTCTCTCTCCAGCACTGATTTGTTTTTGCTCAGGATAAAGAGAGAAGTAAAGCAGAAACAATCAAGGGAAAAGACCTCTCTCTTTCATTTACAAAATCCACCTTTGCAGCCTTCATCCTATTCCTATTGTAAGCGCAACATTGAACAGAGAGCTGACCCCTGCAAAGTCCACTGGATGAGACTCAGCCTGCTCCTTGTCATATACCAACAGTTTCCATTTTCTCTCTTCTCCTTCGGCTATAATACTGCTGTCTCTTGATTCCTCTGCTCTGGTACTTATGCATGTCACACCCACCATCTCATTTGTGTCAGGTTCAATGCAATCTCGGTTTAGATTGCTGAGCTCTCTGCAATTCAAATTAGACCAGAACCAATTCTGTAATAAAGCAAGATGGATGGGTGGGGCCTTCAGAATAAACACTAGCACACATTCAATGACACAGGCATAGGGGTGCTCTCTCTCTCTCCCTCACACATCCTCTCCCATGCCTGCAGATTTTCTAGCATAAGGGCAAACATTTTTAACAATGGCTAGTTTTGGTTTCCTAATCCTATTCAAAGCCTGCATTGGGTTAGCTGCATCCCTACACACATCCCCCAACGCCCCCTCCCAGCCCTCTTCTCCTTCCCCCCTCCCGGCTTTAGTGGTCTTTTTAAAAGGAAAAAAGAACAGAAAATGCACTGCAGGGAGCACAGGGGGAAGCTAATGAATGCACCAAGAAAGGCTGCTCTGTCTTCCTTTCAGCAAGTCCCCTGGATGGGAGAGGGTCTGGAATAGAAACATCTTGTCCTTTCCTTCTCCATTCCAACCCTTTATGATTATTTTGCCTTCCCCATCTTTCATAAAGCCCCCTCTTTCTAATGCAGCACAGAAAGGAATCAGAGCTCTTTCAAGAAAGG